AAAGTAGAAGACAGAGACTTCAGCTTTCAACCTCCTGTTGCCCCTCTCTGCTGCAGAACTAGCTCCCAGTTTGGATTTGGTAGGCAGATTCTACTTTTGAGATAAGCTTCACAACACTCATCTTTGATCAAGATGGATGTCAGTGTAAACTTTTTACATCACATTTAGCCTGAGATTGAATTTTGTGTCGTTTCTATACAAAACCTAACACGAGTATAAAAAAAAGTGCTTTTCATAGGTTTTTTTGAACCACAGAACTTTTTATCCTGAAACACAGTTTTTTGCAAAGTCAAACTTTAGTGTACCCATTGTACGACAAGGCACAGACATTTTTCTTTCCTTCTCGGTTTTGTTACTTTAAAATGATGAAATGATGAACCAAAAGTGCATTCATACCTGCATTTAAAAATAAAATTCTCCTGTTTAATATAACTTATAGTTAATGTTGGATCAAGTGACCCTGAATGCTTCATTAGTTATGCTGCAACAGGTTCATGCTGCTAAGGCCTTCCCATGATGCAATGAGCACGTCTTCACACACCTCTTTTTTTAATCCACATGTGTTAATGTGTCACTGCTGCATTCTTTGTTATTATTAAACTCTGTGTGTCTTCTGTCCCATCTCACCCCTCCCATAGCACATTGGTGCATCTCCCTGAGTCTGGCGGACATGCACAAACACATGCACATGCTCAGTGGAGTTGCAGCGTCTATGTGAGGCTTTATTAATTGCTCCCTGGGGATAAATAAAGTCTTTCTGATTCTGATATAGCCTAAAAGACAGCGTGTTTGCACACATTAACCAGATTTGTGTAGCTAGCTACATAGAAACAGTGAATATCAGCTTCCTCTGTTAAGCTGGGCTTTTACTCCAAGCTCTGTACATGCTCACAAAAACAGGCATGTCGGGCATCACGTGACTCTGTCTTTGCACAAAATGACCACTATGAGTGCACAATACTCTAATAAGAGACCTTATCAGATGATGATACAATGCAGATGACAAGTCTGTAAAGAGAATCAAAGTGTAACAGTAAAATTGCTACATTGTTGCACATAACACGCTCTTCATTTGGAACCTCACAGCTGTCCAGTAGAGCTCTGAAAC